AGTTTCTGATTACTTATACTGGTTTATGTGTAACTTCTGTCCCTAGCCAAGAGGATTAACAGGGTTAATCACCTTTTCACCTCAATGAAGAGGCATTACAGGTGTGGAGTCAACACAGTAGGACTCCTACACTCTACCTATTCAACTCTAATAGTCAGCAGTAAAAGAGAATGTGTTATCCAACATCCAGCAATCCCGATCAGTTGCAATGGTCTCCTGCTGCCATTGGCAGTGGGTGATTTATAGTTGCATTCAGGCTGCTCTAATTTATATGAGGGAGAGCCTTCTGGTGCACACTTGGCCCAGGAGTGGGGAGGCGTAGTAACAGTGTGCCCTGGCATACAAATGCCAGCCTGTTCATTTAAGAGTGCCTGTGTATCAAACAAATTTTGATGTTTTTAGTATTGCAAAAGTTAAAAGCCTAATTCTGAGCTTAGTTACAATAGCACAGATCAGAAATAACTCCATGGAAGCCAATGGCACTATTCAGAATTCACTGCCATTTAACTGTGATCAGAATCTGGGAAAAGAAAAACATCTTCTCTCTGTTCTTTTACTTGCGTTCCTTGACTTGAGTCTGCAGATCTCAGAGGACTAGTAGAAATGCAGTTTCTCAAAGCCAATCATGCTCTAGTGAAATCAAAGTGAGTTTTGCAATTGACTTCAACAGAAATGTGATCAGAACTCCTGAGAGCAGAAAAACCTCAGTGAAGAGTGGAGCGACTGTGTAATCCCTCCAAATCCTGCAAAACTCTAGCTGCCCATTTCTGCTGCACTGATGTGGCAATTCTGCCTTCCAGTGTCCAGCTCTGTGTGATCTGTGGGCGTGCACACAAAAGGGTAGCTTTTAAAAGTGACAACGCCAAAGGGGGCAATGTACTACTTTATGGGGAAGACTCTTTTGTACACAGATGAAAATGAAATAAATACATTTAACCTCTTGCCACTCTGTTAGTCCGGTTTATCATCTTTCCTTACAACTTCAGCATGATTTATTTCAGTATTTTTCCTGTTCCTTCATTAGCCTTCTTCAATTTCAAAATTACTTTACGGACTAAACAATTTAAACCTGATATATTGTATCTGACTTGAAGCAAAATGCTTACTTGAATTTCTTCTCTGAGTGTGTAACAAGGAGAAAGAGAGTCCTGATAACCTTATTTGATATTTGCAGGGAAATGTGCTCTGAGCCAAAATGCTCTTGCTAGGATCAGCAGGTTACGTGCCCTCAGCTCCCTTTATCATCTGGACCCTAAATATGCAGTTGCAGCTGTAAGCAGTCAAACATTTTAATGAAGCTCATGCAGAGCTTGATCCAAAGCCTACTGAAGTCTCCCTGGATCAGTTCCATGTTGCAGTACAGCAGCAATTCTCCACACTAACATTTTCTTTTTGCCAGAGAAAAGTGGGCCACTTCTCAGATCTTGATATCTCTCTGTGCTCATACTCAGGAATGTTAAGAGGAAAAAAAAGCCTTTTAGCATTTATGGCCTAACATTTAGTCATTAAAACTAAATTTCCATAGGGGCCATAAATACAGCCTCTGTTTCTACCTGCAACTGAAAATGTTAGTGTTAAGTTAACTGACAACTTGATTTGCAGAGACAAAACAGAGGCTGTTTTTAGTGTTTTGGTGTCCTTTTTAAGCAAGCAGAACAAATTTAATGTCTCCCATTTAATGTCTCCTGGTTCAGAGGCACTTTCAACTGAGTGCAAGAGAACCACTGTACTGCCAAATTCCCTTATTTCACATGCATCTACAAGTAACTTGCAAGTAACAACCATTTCTACTCAATCTGCACCCCTACCAGGCTTGCACTTTATTTTTAGCACAGGAGAAAAGAAGTTCTACATAATGCTGCAGAAGTGAGTTAGTTGCATTATACATCCTCTCACTGAAGGGATGCAGACCACAGGATAAAACCCTGAGGTTATGAAGCAAAGTTCTAATACTAATCTAATGCTGAAGTAGGGTTCAATTATTTTAAAAAATAAGGTAAGTTAGTATAAAACTAACAGAACTGGAGATTGCTTTCAGTACATGCATAATAACAGGTATGGTAACATCAGCAACCACAGAAGTTTGCATGATATTGTTCTGTATAAGTAAGTACTTTTAGTTTCATTTGGACAGACTAAGACCACCTCTAAAGATTGGAGGGTATGATTCAGTGCACGATTCTTCTTTTCAGAGGAGAAACCATCAAATATTACAATTCATTCATATTATTTATTTGTACTGTGGGAGTATTCATTTTTCAATAAAGGTGTCTATTTTAATGTACAGACATATATAAGACATAGTCTCTAGTCAGAATATTTTACATCTAATACTTGGTAGAAGTGCCATTTATGACGACCCTTTTTGTCAGATTGTGATATGAACACCTGTCCTTCAGTAACTAAACTGGGCTTGCTGCAAGGATTCCTGTGTGAAATGTTATGTATTGTGCATTAGCAGTACATAGTAGTCTGTCTAGCTTTGAAACCTGGGATTATTTGATAATTTCAGGCCACCAAACAGCCATCACATGCTAGTGATGTCCAGCCACACCACTGTTTTCTCTAAGTCACAAGCCACATACATTCTTTTGCCAGTATTTTGATGTGCAATGTTATAACTGTTTCTGGGAACATCACTACTGCCCCTTAGCAAAAAATATCATAGGGTAGCATGCACAGGATATTTGTTTGGATAAGGGTAGTATTTGGCCTGTAGTTCAGTTAATGCCTATTATATACTATATTCAGTATAAAACACACAAATAAGAAAACACAGGGCCAAACACACTTAGCTTATATGCAATTCCATTGAAAGCACCAGTATTGTATGGGATGTCAGAGTAGAATTTGGGCCACAGATATGACCAAAATGTGTTTTGATCAAATTTTACATACTTTTCTAAGGCTACAAACAGCCCTTACATTTGTTCTGGGAGAAACCATTTTGTCCCAGGATTGAATCAATGGTAGAAAAATGGCAGTGCATTTGGCTGCTCACTAAACCCTGACTGAAACAGCTATGTCTGTACACACCAATCCCAAGACTTTTTTGGTTCGGGACAAACAGAAATGCAACATTGTTCCTAGCTTAAATGTAATGATGACTTTATCTGCTTAAACTTAAATCAGCTCCTTCCTATCAATAATTAGTTACAGCCACATATTTAACTTAGGGCATCTTAAAGCTCTACTTTTTAAAATGAGGACAAGTTTATGAAATGGGTGGGCACAAATACACAAGACACTAGAAGCGCAGTAGACATTCTGCTGTGCATTAGCACATCACAGTGAAAACCATTCTAATGTGCTGATGTGCAGCAGAATTACTCTACTGTGCATTAGCGTCACATAAAAGATATGCACTGGTGCTACTGTGCAGTAGCGCTGATTATGGCGCATTAACATACATGTAGACATGCCCAATGTGTCCCTGGTCCCATTTAGTGAATATTTTTCCTTGAGCTGAGCCAAATTTATCTCCGGTTTGACCTTATATGCAGATAAATCAGGGTTATTATTATACTATTACTTATTATTTGCATTATCTTTTTGTCTTGGAGTTTTAAGAGGTAACAATAATAAGGAGACAAAACCCTGAGTAATTTAAAGCACATTTTGTTACGTTAAATAAACTTAACATAATTTGTACATTGTATTAAGGACTCAGAGAAATTTAAGTTTGTACAGAAGGCAAACAAGCTATATATTCTAAAGAAACAATAAAGAGAGCTCCAGTGCTTTTTATTTTTGTATACATTAAGAAGAATGGAAAATTCTTTGTAAAATTGATTATGTTTAATCTTAAAAAGATAAATACACTGTGTGCAATTTGGGATTAGGATCCTGGACTTACCAAGTTCTGCTAAATTTCCAAATGCAACAAGGCACATTTCAGTCAGAGCTGCATTTTGACAATGAATGCCCAACAATTTCACTAATGTAGGGACAACACCCATATTGATAAGCTGAGATTGCAGAGTATCTACACAGAAAGAAAATACAATGATGAGTTAGCATTTCTGTTTGCAGTGTTACTTTTCTTTGAAATGTAAATGCATTTTGCACAGCACAGGCTACCTTTAACCTAAACAAAACTGAAATACCCAACTCCTCTTGTATTGCTTAATAGTTCTAGGACCTGACCCAACCATGGAACATGGACCCAAAACTCCCTTCTTTTGGCTACACGACATAATCCCAAACTTTTCCTCCTGATTTGGCCAAAAGGTATATCTCAAATTTCCAACTCTTATTAGTTTTGTGTGTATTTCCCATGACTGGATTCTTAATAATTTAGTTGAACAAATAAAATTGGTGTTAAAATAGCATGGGTTCACACAGTTCACCAGACTTCTAATATATTCTGATCTTGATTCTGAGCCAACTTACACTGGTGCAGGTCAGGAGTTAATTCCACTGAAATCAACAGAATTACTTTAGTATAAAACTATCCGATTTGAGAACATGCTTCCAAATACTATTTTCCCTTAAAGACCCAAACTGAAAAAGAATGAATATAAACTGGCATTGAAATAAACATGAAAAGTTATATAAAAACAGGAAGCCACAATGTAGATTATGAGGAGCTTGAGAAAAAAAGAAAGTTTAATAAAGACAAAAAAATGGAAGGTTTGAGAGAAGCCCTTAGAAGCCATTATGATAATTTCTTTCAGAGAATGGGAGTTTACAGTATTTACAAGTAAAGAAGTTATTTGCTCCTAGGTGTCTGCAAATAGAAAGATGCTTTGATGGTTAGAAGCAGAAACATGGTTTTTTGAAATTAAAAAATGGATTATTTATAACAGTTTTTTCTGTTATACAAATTTGTCTATGATATAGCAGAGAAGAGAAAAACATTTATTTCACAGTTGAATAGAATGAAGTAGACATGGACACATCATATGTTACCTGGCAATTTCCCTGATTTTTTTTTTTTATTTCTAAGAAAGTAATCTAGTCTTAAAAACAGTGAATGCAAAATGGCATGTTCCAGAGTCCGATTAAAGCCTCTCTAATTTCCGTAAATCTTGAATCAGTCCCTAAAAGGGTTAATTTTATTTAGGGACTACGTCTGCCCAGAGAGTTTTTATACCTATAGGAGTAGAATCAGAACTATAGAGAATTGCATAGATGTTATAACCACAGATTGGCCAGATATTGAGCGTATCAAATTTGGTACTATCAGCTCTCATATTCTGAGAAAAAGTTTGACATTGGACAGAATTTTTCAAACCAAAGTTACGTATCATTTTTATATAGCCAATATTACAGATTAATCTCCTAGAGCATGTTTGAGATCTGTTTGGTATGCAGTACTGTTCATGAGAATAAAAATAAACAGTTGTGTGCACTAATAAGCAGATGGGCACTTCCATTGTTACAAATATTGAGGATGACCAGGAATCATTATAATTGTGGCCAAGCATCCTAAGTTAAATAAAACTGTGTTACTTACCAGCAACTGAATTTCCTTTACTGAATTTCCACAGATCCATATTCTTTATAGAGATGTATGAGAACACCACCTCAGATATCAGATAGCTGTTGAAGCTGTTAAATTTCAGGTAAGTACACATATGCACTAGCGCATGCATTGAATAGCATTTTACCTCCAGTATATGTCTGTGTTGGTACCACACCATGTTTCACTGTACCATACCATGTTCCACTGTAAACCAATTGTAGAAATGTAATCCTTAATAAAAGGCAGGAGGGAGAGAATGGATCTGTGGAGGAAATGATCCAAGAGGAGAACTCCGGTAACTGGCAAATACCTTATTGTTCACCTTAATTTGGGATTATCTTCCACAGATCCCTACTCTTTGGAGATTCTGGATTATTGTCTTTGAAGGAACAAAGGCAGGGAGGCACTGAAGAGTAGGAGGAAACAGATGCATAGCACAACCGCATGGAATATAGTCTGAATGGAGTTAATTTATAGAAGTTGCCTGTCAGTTCTAGATAGTTCTGGGTACTCAGTGATAACCGTCCTCAAAGAAGTCACACATATGCAGAGGTACTTATCCATCTGCACAGGCTCTCTTTGGAAATGCAAGGACCCTCTGGATTCATGTCCAAACACAACACATATGTTAAGTTTATCATAAACTTAAACTCTCTACTCAAACAATAACTTGTTCTGAAGTCTTGTTTAATGCAACATCGATTCTCCACCAGGTACCAAAGGTCTGCAGGACAAGACAACATACTAAGATAAATCTAAATTCTACCTTTGGAAAGAAATGGGCATCTTAAGGACTAACTTATAGAAATGGAAGGCTAAGCCATAAATTATTTAACAGGACTATGGCTAAATGACTTTTGGGGCAGTTGGCAGGACTACTAAGGAAATAAAATCAGAGACTGGGTCAGGAAAGCATCACTGTACAGACTCAAAAATCAGGTCTTGTACTTGACTCCAAACCAACTTTCACTCTCATAGGATTATCCACCTGAAAACAGGAATTAGCTTAAGAGTCAAAGGGTCTTAAAATGTCTGTGAAATGGAAACATTCAGACACAGACAGATGCAAGATTAGCTTGAGAATTGCAAAACATTAAAAGTGAAAGACCCTGAATGGTTCTGTGGCTCTTAAGAACATGAGTCTGAACCTACTGGTGACTAGAAGATCAAGCTCCATTCTGAAATTTAGAAAAGTGTTTTTACTTTTCTAAAAACATATTTTGTGAGGAATATCCTTAAGGAAAATGTCACTGAATAGGAGTTGCAAATGTTCATGTTCCAAATTCACATCCAGAGGACAACCCTTGAGAAGAAGCTTCTCTCACCTGGATTTAACCTCTGAGGGATGACAGGAATGAGGGGCAGTGCTTAAGGAGAAGAATGCTCAACTTCTCCCTTGACAAAAGACCTGCAATACTTTTTAGACCTTTGACACCTAGTAGTAACTCACTCTTCAGAACAGTAACTGACAGCAATGCTACACTGAGGCTTCTG